ATCAGATTTTCAGGAACTGAAGAGGGCGTCAAAGATGTTGAGGAGAAGATGTACACTCTGCAAGACGAAATAAAGGAGAAGAGGTTCGTCATTTCCACCCCTGGAATGCGAAACTTCTTGGCCCAGGATGCAGGCAAACGGTTGATTGAAACCGTTGAACGAGATTGCAAGTGTGTCATTGAGATAACAACAGAAACCGAGGAACTCGATGAAGACTACACCTTTTTCACCTCAGAGCGGAAAAAGATGACCTGGAGCATAGGGAATATAGCAAACGAACAGGTTTGTTGAATGGCGTTCATCATGCCGAACCAGCAATGCCCATCGGCCCCTGAGCAGCCCCGGACATCAGCAGTTTGTGAAACAAATAAAACGGCATGTCAGGCTGGGTTAGCTGGTCAAATGTTCCACAATACTGCAATATCTAACCGATCGTTTCAAGCTGTGAATTTACCATCTCATGGTGACCTCCATAGAACTAGGTGGCCATGTATAACATTTTGTTTGATCACTGGAAAAGAGGTCAGAGGTTTTTTGACGTAAAAGTTAAAGGGTCTCGAGCTCCCGTCCCTGGGATTACGAACCTGAACAATTGTCCAGCTTAAGCTAGGGAAGGCTGGGCATTGCTAAAATAATTGATTAGTACATGTCTTCTAGGATCCTGGGCCCGGGGTGGACAAATTGGTCTGCTGTATGTAACAACTTGAGGAAGAGTCATTGTCGTGAATACTTCGCATGTTGCTTACCACCTGTCCATTTATGGTGCTTCGTTAGTCCTAGAAGGAAGGCTGTTATTTACTTGCATTGCTGGTAGCCATATATCTACATACTTACACTTTTGAATCTAGATAGCAGCAGACACGTAAAGATTTTAAGGAAAACGACCAATTTTTTAAGTTTAAAAGACATGTTTCGACAGAACTTACAAAGCTTACAAAGCAAGTTGAATAATAAGTAGGCNCTTGCATTGCTGGTAGCCATATATCTACATACTTACACTTTTGAATCTAGATAGCAGCAGACACGTAAAGATTTTAAGGAAAACGACCAATTTTTTAAGTTTAAAAGACATGTTTCGACAGAACTTACAAAGCTTACAAAGCAAGTTGAATAATAAGTAGGCGAAAATGCTAATTAAGACAAATAGTAACAACAGAACGTGAAAAGGTGTAAATTAAAAGGATAATTTTAGAT